GAATTTTTAAGAATCCACATCTGAATTACACCACTTCTCAAATATATTGTTTCACAGTACTCCTGAATGAAATATATGGAGATAACGAACAGTATTCAAGCTCAAAAGTCCATTATACAATACAAAATAGGAGCAGAGCAAACACGGACCTCCAAACATCAGAGGTGGGATCAGGTGCCAGGGAGAAGTGAGCATCCCCTGCCGACCGGTCACACCCGCCGTGTGCTTCTTGTCATGATCGGGAAATAACGGGAAAATCCGTCGACAATTTAGTGTGTAAATAATGAGTAAGGGAAGTTGACGATTGAAAAGTTAAAGTCTGAAGTTTCTCCTTCACTGCTGTTAATATTTCAGTGAGAAGTAAAGAATGATTTACTGGAACCTGCTATGTATCTTTGTTTGTAAGGATTTCGGAATCCAAAATAGATATGGTAATTCAGACTCATTTTGATTTTTGGGAATATTAAAAATATGCAAAAACTGACATAAGATTTTGAAGAATTTCCTCCTTAGAAAGGGAGTTTTGGGTATAAGTTGGATTACCACTTGTAGAATTAAATCCCGGATCCTCTAAAATACAGATTTAAAATACAGTTCAAATCATGAGCCTTACAAAGACAATTCTGTTGTCTGCTTTGTCAGCTGGGACCAGTACATACTGATCGTGTAATTTAATTCTTTTTTTACTTCTATTATTGAACACAGAAGAATAGATAGTTTTCATATTGCCCCTCATATATCATACAAAAAGATTTATAATTTATGTGATGTACTCTTAACTAGACTTAGGTTACATGCTTAAAAACCGTTCTGTAGAAGCGAAAGATTATACTTACCTTATTGGGATTATAACTATTGTAAAATATATATTGTTTCATAGGAACTAATAATAGAATTACCTACTAGCACCTTAATGCATGAACCATAATTTTCCTAATTTGAGTGTATAGAATTAGATTACATGTTTTATATCATATATATTCCAACAAATCTACTTTATCTGGAGGTATTAACATTCCAGAGTACATCCCGTGATAAGGCATTGGAATGCTTTAATTTGCTTGTAAATCTGTCTTAGTAAATTCTAAGATTATGGTTCTATGTTTAAATTATGCACATGTGAGAATCTTACAGTTTTCTTTTAAACGTAATATGAACATTTGTTTTCTTTTGCATTATAATGTGGCATCAATCACACAAGATCTGCCTAAAAATTACAACTAAACAAGTGTCAGATAATTCAACATCATATTTAAATTCTCTTCTCTAATGTTTGAAGTATCATTAATTTTTTTCAATCTTCTTTTCTTCATTACTGTCATGCGTTATAAAAGGAAAACAAGTGTAGAAAGTTCTTCTTCTTCTTCTTTGAAGCTACATTAGAAAATCCAGGTTACCAGTTTATCGCCCTATATGAAACTTCATCAGATAAGGTTGTTCCAAAACAATTAGCATTGGTTCCATGATGGTTTGGTCAAATGATGTAGATTAACAAACAACCAGAGAGATAAAAGATTTACAGAAAAGAGGAAAATAAAACAAATGATTCCTAATTCATTTTTGTCTGAATGGTCATTAAGTCACTTAGAAATGACATTTCTACAGTTGTTGCAAGACACTAACCAAATGGTACTTATATGCTTTCTATAGTTTGAAAAAGAAATCTGGATACGCGGAGCTAAATGAACTCTCATGAGACATAAATTCAGGTGAACAATGTTGAAAGAGAACTCAAAGAAGAGTTAACTACCAATGATCAACGGAATGAATTATTTTATCATATATATGTATGCATGATATTCGATTTGCTTTGGTACTGTGCATATTTTATGATAGCTTAGGGAATTATTCTGGTATGCAATTTTCTGAATTTTATTTAAAATAACAATTATTTGTATTACACGTATAGAACTTTTTTCAAATAAAATTAAAAATAACCCCATGAAGAGTCTTTAGAGTTGAATGTCCCTTGTGAAACCATTCATTGAATAGACTATCAGTAAGTTTCAGAACTTGTGACTAATCCTTATGACTTTTTGTCAGTAAAATATGTTCAGTTCAATTCATTCTACATGTATATAGGTAACCGAATGCAAAATGATTTGGATATATCCAGTGGCCATCTAGAAAATAGCGTTTGTTTCATTGACATCCATCTCCACCTAACCAAAACTATTATATCTGAGTGTTTGTGCAGATCAATCAAATTACATGTAAATTGATGTGGTTCGTAAATTTGCCTATTTTTAACACTTGGTTCAGATCGAAAATTAAGAAATTATGCGTTACACAATCATTTAAAAGTGACACCGTTGTGACAAATGGTCACATTTTTATGTCGCATGAAACCTATTAAAATTTGATTGATAATTGATTTTATTTATCTAAGATGTGTTTTGCTCACGCTCATACATTTTTAAATGAACAAGCTCAAAAGTCCAATAAAACAATACAAATCTTAAGCAGAACAAACAAGGACCTTTGAAAACCTTAGAGGTAAGATCAGACGCCTTGGAGGAGTAAGCATCCTCTGTCGACCGGTAATCCTTGCGGTGAGTCCCTTGTCATGATCGAGCAAATGGAAAAATCTGTAGATATTGCAGAATTAAAATGATGGTCTAATAATTTTTATGAAAAACATCAGTCAATAGCTCAACATTCGACCTACAGAGTGTACATTGTATTTGCAAACAGCTCATTATATCGACAATAGGTATAGCTTAATATTGTCTTTTAAGGAAATTATCGATACCTTTGTATCATCAGCTTATTTGTCAGTAATCATTCTCGTTTCAAAAAATGTTCGTACGTAGAACACGCTCTTGCATAACGAATCAACTGGAAGACATAAACCCCATATGGAGGTGATAAAGTTATATTGCTACATAAATAAGGGTAGCTGACGATAAAGAAGTTAAAGTCATTAAATTTATCATCAGTTTGCTTCGGTAAAACATCCAAACACAAGAAAAATGTGTCAAACTTTGTGGTGTCTTTTATTTCGAGTTCAATGGAATATATATCGCACCAAGTATGAATGAAAATTACTATTGTTAATTGATAAAACTTCTTCGATATATCTTAATTTATTAAATACATAGCCAAATTAATTTCTATCACTGCCATGAAATCTTAGATTAGTTGGTAAAATCACCATTTCTTTGGCTTAGACGAAAAATTTCATGTCAAGTGTTTTCTCTATCGAAACACGCAAAAAGTTACCGACTTTAGTACTTGAAATATTTTGATAAATCTGTTGTTTGTTGCATATGACGAACAAACTTCTCTGACCTTTTATGTGTTTTTCTTTTAAAAATTGAAATATGTGAATTTAAAGGGGTAAGCATTTGTAATTGTCTCTTTTAATTCAAAACTTAGAAACTGAGAATTGTTTTCTATCCTGGACTACCTAATATTGGTACTTTTTTAAAATTATTTTTATTTCTTCTTTGATATTCATATAATATGAATAAAGGAGATACAACAAAACAGAATTAAGCGTCCAGTAGAATTGTAAATTATTAAGGAGAAAAAATGATCTGCTAAAACTAAAAATGAGAGGAAAAATCATCCAATATACTCTTAAATATGTCAGTTACGTAACATTCAGAAACAGATATAACCCACATCAAAAAAAAAAGATCTTCAAAAAAAAAAGTTGAGTATCCTTGCAATCATTTTGTTTCTCAGATCAAATAGTCAGGAGTTTTGTTTTTTTTTTTGGTTTTTTTTTGTTTTGTTTTGTTTGTTTTTTTGTTTGTTTTTTTTTTTCGTTTTCTTTTTAAAGGGGGGGGTGTTTTCGTGTGTGCGAATATTCTACATCATAAAGAATATAAATATGAAAATCTCTTTCTTGACGTCATGTAGAAGTTTTGTTATGACGTGGACGCAGAGGAATGAAGAACAATTATTTTGTTTCTCTGGCATCCAACTTGAATGTTGATAATGTTCAAAGTACTGGAATTAATCGGTTTATTTATTAAATTCCACTAAATAATTTATCTACACTTTCGCTACAAGGTAAGTATTTGTACAGTACTTAAAAGAATTACTTTAGTACTAGAATATAGCAAAATTTGATTTATTTCATTAGTGTAAACGGATTGTGTCATCACGTGATATTCCTTTGATATTTGTTGCATAATTTACCGACAGAAATAATAGCATACTTAGCCTTTTTAAAGGTTATGGAACTGATGTGCATTTACATTTTGTCTTCTTGTCATTTTTTTAAATTTCCTGATTTACCATAATTTTGAATATATTTAAATAATTATTGTCTCTTTCATACTAGGTTTTATAAAACGAATCTCCCGATATTTCGTCATCAGATAAATACTCGCGCCGTCTGCTCTGAGATAACAATCCCCTTGGATAGAATTGTTTGTTCAAGTAAACGTTGGCCCTCTGCCAAGTGATTAATTGTACTGACACAATAGCCCTGGGTTGTTTTATTTAAGTGATTGTGTGGTTGGCAGACGATCAATAAAGAATTGGGGGTTTTAAATAATGCCAAGCGGAATATGAAATGATAACCCAATAACAGAAAGAGAAGGGCTTTGAGATATTTCCCACGAAAACTTCTCACAAATATAGCCCTTGTTGATTAGAGCCAGTTTTCTCATCATCTCGATGTTATTAGAGAACCACGATAAGTTAACTTAACGCTTGAGTAGGATTAATGACTCAGTTGCTAGGGGTAACTGTAAGCGCACGTTAATTACATCTGACAAAGAAGTACATGTTTGTCGTCTGCTGATTTTGGCGTACTTTAGAAATTCACAAGAAAACGGGGATGAATAGTGTATAAAACACGTGTTTACACTGAGTACTTCAGTGTAATCATTTTACATTATTTTATACCAACTCAAATCTTAATTTTAAAAAAAAATATTTTTTTTAATATTTCCCAAACGGTAATCTGAATAATAAAAAGTTCTTTGTGATTATTTCGACATTTGCTTGAAAACAGTTGATCTAATATGTTGGCTTGGTGCCAACTGCCAAGTTATACAACGATGAGAGCCTTGCACGGCGAGAAAATTGACTGTTATGCGCTCTCAAGCGTAGACGCCTTTGTGGACAGGAAACTGATTAGAATTTGCCCGAGGAATTCGAGCGTGGAGGGATATCCGTTGCCAATGGATACTTCGTTTTATGAGATTGGCGAAGAATTTGTCAGCTGCGTTTCCTGCCTGGGGGCTTGTATTACGTGCGAACAGCTCAGGCGATTCGATTCCTGAAATAAGTGGTGTTGTGGTAGAATCCATTATAGCGAGATAGTCGGGTCAGACATTTTTTTATGTGACCGACGCCATTTGCAAAAATTTAAAAGGACTTATCGATTTTTTTATGTGGACTTAGAATTTTGTCACGGGATAGCGTACAAGTTGATAACTGTAATTTATCGACTCTATTGTGATGGAGTTAGCGGGTTACGTCATATTTTAATACGGGATTAAATCACTGCGAGAAAGGTAAGCAACACGTGTTCACGATATATCATCGTGCTGGTATCATTGTTGTGTGACAATGTTGCGGAGATGTTGCTGTGTACGGATTAGGATGTTTATTGATTGTACCATACAGGATGAGTCTCGTGTGAGTGAGGAAGTTGTATGTATTATGTATTAAGATGTTAAATGTTTTGTTACGTACGATTGCATGGTTAGGGTCCGCATCGCACTGAGTCTGTAAAACGTAAACAAACTAACGCGATTAAAAGGGTGACATTTTGGTTACATATTTTATGCAGATAGAGTATGATGAACATGTTTTGTTCTTAACGAAAAAATATATATAGATAATAGATGAATATTTATTATATTATTCCAGCCATCTTTGCACGCAGTCTGATTGATAGTAAGTATTGTGTACTCATGATACAGTATATCATATGTATGATTGATTAGTGATGCCATATTATGATATAGGTAGCCTAAGGTGCATTATAAATATTTGTACGTGTTTATGGTTTGTCTGATAGCATTGTCTCTTATTATTACTCTCAACTTAGGTAACCAGTAACTATTTATTTCAGAACAAAGTATGCATGCATATGCCAACAGTTGCTGGATAGTATCAATCTACAATGTTGTAATTTTAGTGGGGCTTAATAGCTCACCTGTACAACCATCACTGTGGATTGCACAAATTCCAACATTGAAAACTAAAGAATTTTCAGCAGTCATGGTAATAGTTTACCATGGTAACTGTAAGAATTATATGATTAATAGAAGAGTAACTTGATCCAACAGCTAGATCAAGTTGACAGGGTTGTCCTTAAGAATTAAAATAACAGAGGACATTAAAAAAGTAGAAGGGGGTCTGAGGCTCCTCCTCTAAGAGGGGGATGAAGGAGAATACCAGAGTAACTGTGGGATTATGTCATTATAGGCCATGAAATTCTTAGGGACAACCCTGAGTTGAGTTAACTGATCAAACAAGGCATAAAGCCTGGAGTTTGTTCTGAGATGTGATGATGGCTCTTCTGATCAAGTTACTGTTATAAATATAAATAAATACCCCTCTTTATTTACGTAAATATAATTAAAAAAAAAAAACAAATATTGGGTCAATCATACATTTATCTATTTTAGGAACTTTTTATGGATATGCATGTAAAAACATCTTATTTCCTATCTAGCTTGTAACATGAGATTTGATTTGCTAGCAAGCAGAGTGTAAATTTCCGCACACAAAACTTGAGCTGGCGGGTAAATAAAGTGACGTCGCAATGCATAGTAAAAGCAGATAACATGATGTTACGTATTGTAGCATAAATTTAGTAAATCATATTGATAGTGAAGCACCATTGATTGGACTTGGGTTTACAAAGAATTTATTTGGTTACATAGGAAATAAATTTGTTATCCAGGTCCAATAAAGGTTGTATAGGGCTCTGGAAAGTATGATCACACCATCATGTCTGCGTGAAATTAACAGAAATATTTAGTGATACACAGTTGGTTATTTGAAAAATGGTAAAGTACTCTTTTTAAAATGGAGCATTTACTGTTATTATAAGACATGATTAATTATCTGCAAGTTGATAAAGATTTTTTAGCTAAAATACAGTATATACTCGCATATAAGTCGGTCCGCCTATAAGTCGGTTGTATTTTTTAAGCTTATATTAGAAGGCTTGACCCTCTAAAATTCATTCTTTTTATGACTCGCCTATAAGTCGGACACAGAGTTCTGGACCAAAGTTTAACTCCCCAAAACCGACTTATAGGCGAGTATATACGGTAGTCTGACAGGCCTTGAGGTAGCTGCAATAATGTAGCCCTCTCCATTTTTTGGGGGGGGAGGGGGGCTACAACTCCTTAGGATCTCCATAATGGTGCAAGTGCGTTAGTGATTCACTCCCGCACAGATTTCAGTTCAAATTATCAGTAAATGGCTATTTTATTAACATTTCTTACCTGAACTTCAAAAATGTCATTATGCAAGACATAAATTGATCCAAAAATATACAGAACAATCCACATTAGGACTTCCCTTATTTAAGCCTAAATATTGTAGTTTATGTAAAAATATCACATGGAATGGTTTAATTTTTTGATGCTTAGTGATACCATACAGCACAATCATTTACCAACACCGACATTTGCTTTATCAAGTTATTCTAAATTTCAAGCACAAGTCTCAGTACATTATCTCCAGAAAATATCAGACTATTAAAAAGAAAACAGAGAGGGCTACATTATTGCAGCTAGCCTTGAGGCTAAGGTAAATAAGAAACTGTTTATTGACATATGCTGTTCCATCATGTAATAGGTGAGTCAGTGTTTTACAACTTGATCACACTGCTGACTCGTGACAAGTAACTGCTGTAAAATACATACCAGTCCTTTACACTCGTTATTAGCATGATTAGTCTAAAACATACAATAGTATCGAACTGTCATGTACCCCAAAATATTAATTGATTTGTATACCTAACAATAGTTTACTACATCATCATTATCATGTACATACATGTGACATTGTAAGTTATCTAGCAAGAACTTTTTCTAGCAAGAACTTTAAAGAAATTCTTTAAAAAATAAAAAGCATCTACTTCAAAGAATTCTAAAACAGGAATAGTTCACTATTATTCGGGCCTATCGGTTATTCTGTTATACTACTATCAAACAATCTGTCAATGTTGGCCACATTGAAGTACAAGTAAATGCTCCAAAATCATTATTTAATTGTCTTGAAACCACATAACATATAGCACAGTAGTGTTACAGTACTAAACAACATAAATTAACCATTTTAGTACTGTAACACTATTGGTTATACAAGCTCACCTGAGCTGAAGCCTGTATTGAGCTTTTTTGACCAAAATTTGCCCGTTGTATGTCCTCATCATAACACTTTGTACAATGTCATCTTCTTCTCCAGAACCAGCAGGCCAGTTTCAACCAAACTTGGTACAGAGTATCCTTGGGTAAAGGGGATTCTAGTTTAATAAAATTAAAGACCAAATCCTCTCCCAAAGGGAGATAATAAAGAAATTTTCTTCTCAAGAACCACTGAGCCAGAAAAGATGAAACTTATGAGAAAGCCTCCTGAAGAAGTGTAGATTCAAGATTTTTCAAATCTTGACCCCAAGGGCTAGGGTGGGGCCATTATGGGCAATCAGAGTTTTACATTGGAATATATAGGGGGAAAAAATTTAAAATCTTCTCAAGAACAGTAAAGCCATGATGAGTCATATTTAAACAGAAGCATCTTCAGGTAGTGTAGATTGGCGTTCGTTCAAATCATTACCCCCGGGGGTAGGATAGGGCCACAATGGGTAATCAAAGATGTTAGTAGGAAAAATCTTTAAAAATCTTCAACAGCAAAGCCATTATTATTCATACTAATATGGAAGCAAAAACAGTCAGTATATTGATTATAATAGCTGCCTGTTTAACAGTTTCGCTCATATATTCATATTTATATTGAAGCATCCTCAGGTAATGTAGATTTAAGCTTGTTCAAATCTTGTCTCCCTGAGTTAAGGTTGCACCACAAGTGTGACCGTAGTTTTACATAAGAATGTTTAGGGAAAAGTATATGTTAATGAGAGGAAGGGTCATAGTTACTTGGCAGGTGAGTGTTATGGCCCATGGGTCTCTTGTGTACAGTGCCTTGCTATGACATTGTAACAAACTAACCTTTCATATTTAAGTAGCTCTAAAATTAAAAATCCCTACCTAATCAGTATGCTTGTTGATCCTATATTTTTTTCCCCTGATATGGATGATTATATCAGGAATTTTGCTATTAATTGAGACGCCAGAGCAAGAATCAAGACCTTGGTACTTCATGTATCATTTATGTGTAGCAGACTTCATGTATCATTTATGTGTAGCAGAAGTTTAAGTAATATCGTTTAAAAAGGTCTAAAGAATATGAAAAATTTTAATATTTTAAATTAATCGTGTTAATTTTGCATAAAACTTGTTATTAAATACGAATTAATAAAATGACCAAAACAGTCTCCAACTACAATAAAAGATAATTAAAATTTATTTTTTACAGTGTAAGCTAGTAGCTGACTAATTCTATTACCCTTCCCCAGTATCTATAGTTAATAATCCAGATGTACAGCCATAGAGGCCAATTGAAGACTTATGTATGATATAGGTCTATTATAATTCGCATTAAGAATACTTTTTTATTTGCCCAGGAGGAAACATCTTAGATTTTTGTTTTCTCTAATCCTAACTCTAACTAAATTGTTGGTAGGTTTATAGTGCCTATAAATTATAGTATAATTAAACACTTGCTGTAAAGCATTTGATTTTATAATTTCTCTATAGCTCCAAGGCACAATATGTCAGTTGAATTTTCCAAATGTGCCACTGTCTGCATATTCATTGTTAAAAACGAAGACTATTGTAAAATGTAGCACACCATGCCTTATGGTATTCTTTCATTATGAAATGTCATTAGATGTGAGATTTTTGTATATATGAATAAAATTAAGAAATGGTCTAACAATATCTTTCTTGCATTAGCATTGTAGGATTTTATTTTTGATACTGGTACTATATGATAATGACAAGTCGTTAATTAAATAGAATTTCCTAAATGGTGCTCATAAAGACCAGGAATTCTGTTCTGGTAAATTTTATACAAGTTAATTTGTAAGTGGATAAGATTTTTCCATATTTGGTTAATATTAGCAGATGAGCACAGAGGAGGATTATCTGCAAAGATCTTAAATGATAACTATGTTCATCTCAATAGATACATTTTTACAGTTAATATTCCACCAAACTATGCCATATAGCAATTGTTTTACAACTAGTGAAATGAAACATTAGTTTTTTTCTGTAATTTGTAGACATAGGGAATGAAAATATCCTTTATATATTATCTCAAATCAATTATATACTAGTATACTGGTCACAGTAGCTTAGTGGTAGGGCGCTTGCTTCGTGATCGGGAGGCCCGGGTTCAATTCTTGTTCGCCAAGTCAAACCAAAGACGT